TGAATTTGCAAAAATATAGAAATAATAATTTACCGTAAATAAGCAACTAAATAATCTGAATATGATGGTGAACAAAAATTTTCTATTAAACTTTGTTCATTTCCTTCTTTATATATATTATCAATAATTTCAATAACAACATCACGTACATCTTCAACTGTAAAATCTAAATAACCTAATTTAACAAGTTGATCTTTTAAATCATATGTTAATTGACGAAAACGTTCGAGTTCTTTTTTATTATTTAAATTTTTTTCAAGATAACCAAATGCAAATGCACGATAAAAACCATTTCCATCACCACGTATACGTCGAATATACTTATATGTTTTCATTAATTCCTTTTTTTTTGTCAAAATATAATTTTTATTTTATTTGTATTAATCTTACTTACTGCTATTTTATCATCTGATGCATATTCATTTTGTAATTGAGCTGTTGGAATTTTATTACTTACTAATGGTTGACTTTCAGCTATCTTAATAAAAGAAAATGATGAAAAGTTTTAATAGAAAGATGATTAGTTTAAATACTTCTCTCTCTATTTCATTTAGTTGTAGCTGAGTTTGTTGACATATATCCATATCTAAATAGATAGTTTTAATTTTTTAGAAAATATTGACGTGCTTATCGATTAGCTAACCATGCGATGTACAATTGAAATTACTGGTATCTATATTATCACTAGCTGAAACAGATAATGAATTAAATTTAGAAGTATAAGACGACTTATGAAATTAGTTCTGGGATGAGAAAACGATAAAAAAAAGAGAAGGAAGAAATGGTATAAGTTTATTTATTTGTTTATGGGAGCCAATAGAAATAAATTAGAGATTAGATGTCGTTGCATAAAAAGGCAGCAATGTTTTTAATAATAAGTTTTATTTATTACTTTGCTACTAAATTGAAAAAACTCTGTGATGAAAAAGATTTCGCATTCCAAGCACTTTTGGTTTTCTTCATGAGATTGATGAGAGTCAGAGACAAAGTCTGCCAAACTCATAAAGATAGCATTTACAAAGGTAAGAAATTTTTCTCTTTATTATGAATAGCTAATTTTACATGACACAAGGCTTCAACTAGGCATGCACCAAACCCAAACTGTTTGGGAGTTTGGGTTTGAGTTTGGGTATTGTGTGTGGGTTTCAGTTTGCTACATAAACTCACTGAACTACTGAACTTTAAATGCAGTGCCATTTGCGTCAAGTCTCTTCTTTATATTTAGCTATTTATTCTATATAGATATGAGCAAAAGCATATTTCTATGCATCACATTGTTAAACAGTGAAATAAAGTCATTCTGAATTCCAACAGAATAGCTTGAAGAATGGATCATTTTGATTGGTTTGCCTATGATCTAATTGATGGAACATCGAAATTACATTTCTCAGTTAGAGAAGCTATTGTTCGATATTTTGTAATAGTCAAACATTGATTTTTAAGGAGAGGAGAGTGGTAGGAAACCCGAATTCAAACTCGATTTTCTTGAGACTGAAGGATGACCTACAATGAATGAGGGTCTTTGCCTTTTCGCAATATCTTCTCTATTTTTTATAGATTTAGACTGAATATTTTCTGAGCGATGCAGCATTTGATTCTCCACGAAACTGCATACATGTGGATGCCACAGACAGTGACGTAGCCAGGAATCTTTAAGTCATGGGCCGTTTTCCAGATAAATTATTTTGAGAAGTGGGCAGCAATGAGCAATTAAAAATCAATTGGGATACAATTTTTTAAACTTATTGGCATCACAAAAACCGATCTTATTGAAAAGAAGTTTGTTACTCTTAACTAAGAGGCGAGCTCCTTTGCTTTTGTGAAACACGATCTAAAAGGAGTGCTGAAGCGTATAGTGGTAGAAATTTGAGTCCGCCCCCTCCCACAGTGGACAGAAAAGGGAATCAGAAGCAATTCTTTCAATGATTGCAGCTAATAACTTAATAGTTTGTGTACATTTAGCTGACACTTCATACCAATTATCTGCGCTTATTCAACCTCCCTTACTCGAAAATTGCAAATTAGCACAATAAAAAGTCGTTGTTCCATTATAGTGTTGTTTAGCAAAAACGAGACAACAATTTTTTTTCATATACTTGATACAATTATTAACTATGGATTAATTATTCTTCAAAAGCCTGAAGCAGTTTATCATCAATAATTTGTTTCCAACTTTTGAATTCTCGCAGAAAAAATATAATAAGGGTGCAAATTAGACATCATTTTACAGTTTTCATTCGATATTCATCTTAATGTACGAATTACCTAAATGTAAAATCTTAAGACTTGTAAGGAAAAGTTCACTGTTTGGTTATAGTGGAGCACACATATACGTGTATATCAAACATCTCTAGAAAAAAATATGTGTTTTAGTAGTTTACTACTTGGAGGGTGGGTGTGGGTTGAATTAAGAACAACACCCACCCACACCCTATATGTTTATTATAATATTATTAGTTAAGGAATAAATAAATAGAGGAGGATATAAGAGCAAAGACTTTTCTCTGTAACTATATCGTGACCAGTCACATACGGCCAAGTGCAAGATATTTATTATGTACAAAACAAATTACCACAGAGGACATTGTGTTCCAGTTCGATCCTATGCATTCTCAAATAACACAAGGCACATGTTCGACTAAATTGAACGTAGACAAAACAATAATTTTTCATTGTAGCAGTTATATACACTTGTGCTAATTCAGTTTCATTGGTAACAATATCAAGTATTATCGTTGAGTTACAACTCAATTGATTCAAATTAGTGAATCTCTAGTGTGAAATTCGTCAATAAACTTTTTGTTTCTCGATAGTGTATTCGTCAGTTGGCGAAAAGTAAGATTGGCGATGGTATATTACTCCTCCAATACCTTCATCAAATTATTTTCTTCAAAGTCTTTTTTTTATATTTTAAATGAGTTTGTCGCAAATTCAAATACCCCACCTAATGAGAGAGCCATTAAATTACATGAATTTTATGTCTTTACACTATAGTAGTTCTTTGATATGAATATCACGGTATTCACGTATGAATTGTTCCTATTATTTAAATTTATATTTTTCACACGCACTACTGAACTTTTTTTGCGTTGTCATATATCTGTCACAATTATTTCTAGATTCTATTTAATGCTTTGAAATCTTCATGGCGGCATAACAACGACAGAAGATGTTCATGTATGTATAATATTACAGAATGAAACTGATGCCATGCTTTTATCATTAATACTCTATAATAATTATCATGCAAATTTTATGTTCATTAATTTAAGAAAATGAACGCTCCGTTGTTCTGCTGTCGGTATCTAATATAAAATAGCTTCGTTACGAGGAAAAAAAATTGTGTTACAAGTAGAAACATTTTCTTTCATGATGCTTCGGCACAGACGTCAGATCTATTTATGGGCGCTTGTCATAAATGAAAGAACAGAGCGCTTTATTCATCATATTCTATTATTTCGAAGTGTTTATTTGATTCAGTAATGACATTTTCTCATTTTAGATAGGCATAATCCTATAATCAAAGTTTGCATAGCTGAATCCATTTTTTACTTCAAATTTTCAAGTTGATTAATTTTTTGGTTAAAATAGGTCTTTTTTTCCAAAAATACCGATTTTCTAAAAAGTTTGATCGAAGGCTTCTGAGATCAAGGAATCCTAATCTACACATGGTTTATCGAAATTCTCGAGATGAGTTATCTTGCTCAAGAGATGCCACATTCCTATTCTTACGGTTTCGGTAAGTGTAATCAGAAAATCGTTACTTTTTCAAAAAACATCCTTTTTAACAAAAAAAAACTCAACTCGAAAATTTGAAGAAAAAAATGGATTTAGCTATGTAGGAGTCCAGACAGACTCGATATCCGGTCCAATTATGATCTAGTCAGTCACTCAGAACTGGGATTGATGCATACCTTCATAAGTATAAAAGAGAATTTTTCTTTGTACTCTACTGTATTTGCTTAGAGATAATTTTAAAAATTAGAAAATTTATTTAAGACGTTAAGCAATGCGTTATGATGAATTTTTATCATCATAAAAGTGCTTTCATAATAAATTCACAGATGTTCGAAATCAAATTGTAGAACATGATCATTTGGTTGAGATGAATTTGTACATTTTTATTTTGAGATGTCTTCTTCGAACATCACCAATGATATCGTTGCTGCCACCAATGCTCTTCTTTGGGATTCAGTTTTGTTTGTTCGATGCTGGTGTATAACAATGTTTATTCTTGGCTGTGTTGGACATTCATTGAATATTTATCTATTTACACGTCCTGCACTTTATTCTAATCCATGCGGCAGATATTTTCTGGCATCAGCCATTAGTGGCTATCTTGTCGTTTTTGTTAATATTCCAATACGTTTTCTCCAATTGGGTTACAAATTGAGTTTATTTCTTGTATCAGTGGAAATATGCAAAATTGTGTCATTTCTGTTTTTCTCGATAAGGTATTCTAAATTGTGATGATAGAATAGAATCGAATGAATCTTTTTTTTTTGTTTTCTTTTATAGAATTTTACCGTGTTGGTTTATAGCTCTTGCTTCTGCTGATCGGTATGTATGAGTGACATAAATGCTCACATTGACAATATATACTATTTTTTCTCTTTAAGATTTTTCTGTAGTTCAAGATCAGCTACACTTCGTTGTTGGAGGTCAATTCGTGTTTCCAAGTATTTAATTTCACTTACACTTCTGTTCGTTGTTTTAATACACGTGCCAGTACTCATCTTTTATACAATCAATCCACAATCAAGAACGTGTCTCGGTCAACCTAGTTTATTTCAGGAAGCGATTACATATATCAATTTGATTGTATGGTGTGTGATTCCATCTTCGGCTATGCTTGTGTTTTGTTATCTCACGATTCGTCATATCAAGCAATCAGCTCGAAACCTTACACAGCAAAATACTGCAAATCAACAACAAAAACGAACTAAGTTTATTGATCGACAATTGTTTCAAGTAGCGCTTATTCAGTCAATTCTATTTGCATCAACATCAGCTTGTGGTGTTGCTAGACTGTACCTTGTCATCACCACCACCCCACAAAACAATCCACTACAAGCCGCTAAGCAAAATCTTCTTACGAATATACTCTCACTCATTGGTTTTCTCGGCCCATGTGCTAGCTTTTATCTATGTACATTATCGAGTCAATTGTTTCGGCGTGAACTTCTAAAACTATTTCATTTTCGACAAACTAATGTTGTAGATGTGTGTATGAACGTATTTCCAATGCAGAACAAAAACAATTAATTGCTTGATTTAATTATAATTTAACAGAATTTATCATAAAACGTTTTGCTTTTCTTATGTTTAACCTTGCTATTCAAATAAAAAACTTCGTCAAAGATGCTTGATTGTATGTGTTGTCGTAAGCAAAACATTAGTGTTTTCATTTGCACTAATAAAAGTCAATACTACACATCGAAATTATTTCAATAATAAATGCGGAAACTTCGGATTTAAATCCGAGAGTTATGTGTACTTCAAAAAGTGAATGAGACAGATGAGTCGTTCTAGAACGTGTGGACATCAAAATTATACTGGGGAACCTACCCTCTAAACTGTTGAT